GAGGATGTACGACGACTGGCGGCCAGTGGCTGACTGGGCACTGCCCGTGGAGGAGGCAGTGGAGCAGGAGCTGCCAGCAGACTCGGACGAGCTCTGCGACATGGGTGAGTAAATGCACTTGGGGCTGTCTGCCTTCTTCGACGCTACGGCCTCCGGTACGCCGTCCGGCTGACTGCCCGCCGAATCGTCGTCGTCGTCCATCTTGGGGAAGGAGAGGACGGGAATATTGTTTAGTATATGACTATTGCTCAGACTGCTGCGACTAGAGAAGCTAGCACTGGTTCGGCGCCGGTGCGATATGGAAGGGGGTGAGACTGCCGCATTGCTGCCGTCCTTCGAGGCGTGCTGGCTGCCTCGAGGCAACTGGTTCACTACGCCTGCAGATGACGTCTTCAGAATCGGCCGAATGTGACCTTTGGAGAGGCTGGGCACACTGGCGCTGACCGTCGTTGTAGTGTAGTAGTAGCTGCCACTGGAGGACTTTGAAAGACTGCATCTATCACTGTTGTTGTTGTTGTTGTTATTATTATTATTGTTATTGCACTGTTTGACGACAATGTTGGCACGTGAGCGGATGTTGCCGTTCGGGGCGTAGGAAGTGGAAGAGGACTTGTTGCTGTTTGAAACCGAACTGTCAACTCTTTGCTTTGCAAGCACCACCTTGTTGCCGTTAACTTCCTTCACTGCATGGCCAGTTCCTTTCAGTTGACTTGTCAGAATTTCCGATTCCTCTTCGTCTTCTTCCTCTTCATCCTCTTCCTCCTCCTCTTCTTCTTCAGGTACTTTCACAACATTAGCTTCCTCCACTTCCTCCTCCTCCTCTTCTTCTTCCTCCTCATCTTCTTCTTCTTCCTCATCACTTTTAGAGTGAGAGATCACTTTAATATTATTTGGCTGTGAGCAAGTGTCACTCTGTTGTGCCTGATTGGAGGAAGAAGCCTTGCTGAGTTGCATATTCTTTGAGGAAAGAGAAACTGACTCTCGAATGGCGTACTCCCGCTCGGTGCAACCATCATTGGTATTGCTGCTGCTGCCATTCAGGCCTGGATTCAGGTAATTGTTGCGCATGAATCGGTGTGAGGAATTGGACTGATTACAGTCGTGACAGTTGTTGTTGTTGCAGTTGTAGTTGTTTTCATTGTTGCTGTAGCCACCGCCGTTATCGCCGTTATCTCCGTCATCATCGTACTTCTTGTCGAAGGTACCATTCACCTGAAAGTTGGCCTCATCCGCCTTCTCGTCGCCTCCCAAGGCGGCCACTGCCATCGATGGCAGACTCATCGAACGCAACTTGTTCAGGTCTTTGATAATGGGGTACGTGTTGGAGGGCTTAATCTGCGAGACCGGGTAGTTGCCGCACTGACTGCCGTGGTCTGCCGCAGACTGCTCCATATTGCACAGTGGCGCGGCCAGATGATCAGCACAGGGAAGATTATCGGCAGCCTCCGTGCTGAAGTAGCCATTCTGTGAGCAGTAGTATTGAGAACAGGCGCCTTCCCCTTTGCAGTTGTCCTTCTCCGTCGATTCGCGGCGTTGAGTACTGCCGCCGTACTTTGCTGAACTAGCTCGGAATGCTTCGGGGTTTTCGAGAGCGCTGGTCGATATCTTTTCGCGACTAGCTCGACTTTGATTTAGCGCACATTCCGTTGACTTGTCATTGGGCACATTCACCGGATCACAATCGTCATTGTCCTCATTGTCTGGGCAGTCGTTCTCATCATTGGCCACACTTTTCTCCCACATGTTCCTGTGTAAAAGGGAAGAGAAGGGGGTCAAAAGAGGATTAGTACGCAATAAAGTGGAACAAACTGCAAGTGTACTCACGAGACACAGTACTGCGTGACATTGCGCTTGTTTTCAATGTCAGTCGCATTTGGCTTCAGTGATAAGTCTTCCGCACAGGCGTTCATTTGAGTGACTAGAGAGACGTCCTTGTTGGTGATGTTCAAGTTGAGGTTGCTCATCTTGTTCATCACCGACTTTGCTTCATTTGGACTGCTAGCATTGTGAAAGTTGGCAAAGTTGGCATTATTTCCAGCCACGTTGCCTGATGAGACAGCATTTGCGGCATTATTTGACCGTGCACCGCCGTCCGCACTTTTGGCGTACACATTCTTCACTTTGTTGTTGTTATCCGAATAGTAGCCCATTGAAGTTTCATTGTTTTCATTGTTTGCATCCCGATTCTGGCTAATCAGCTCCCAATCGTAAGGGTCTTCCGCTTTGATGTTTCTTCTCTTAATGCTACGGTCAAATATGGAATTCCTATAAGAAAAGCAGGGGGTGATTTAGTGCCGAGTTCAGAGAGTTCTCAAACTCACAGTAATTGGTAATTAGGAGTGTCGGTGTAGGTAAGTGACTCGATGTGTTCGAGGAATTGCTTAAAGTCTTGCGGCAAGTGCTTCAACAGTAAACGGTGATCAAATGTCGACTTCATCAGACCGACTGAGTCCTTGTCCTTAATTTTACGCCATGGCAGCGACCCGTTGACCATTTCAATGAGGACGTAAAAGAGGGACCACAAATCATCGTGGCGACCCATCTCTTTGTTTTTGTGCGCATTGATTGACCTGAAAGCAGGGGAAAGAACGGTTACAGTAAAAGAGAACATGCGCTCGGCACAAAGTAACCTACGCATATCGAACGGTGCCTCTGAAGCCGGCGGCCACTCGAGGTGGCCTAACTTCGTTAGTGTTTGAAATGACGTACTGGCGAGCGAGACCAAAGTCAAGCATGTACACCTTCTTCAAGGTGCTCTCTGTGCGACCCATAGCAAAATTAGATGGTTTAACTAAAAAGGACAACAATTAATTGGAGCGCACTGTTGAGTCAATTTAAGTGCTCTTACTATCACGGTGAAGGAATCCAATGGAGTGAATGGCTTGAATGGAGTGAAGAATCTGTTGCGACAAACGGAGGGCCGTTGAAAGACTAAATGCCGGTTTCTGGTTTATTTGGACCACTGAGCGCCGTAGCTCGGCCAGGTTTTTGCCTAGCATGGACATGACACAGTAGTTGAAGCGTTCATTACGGCCGCAACCAATGAATCGACAGACGTTGGCATTGGTGCTCTGCAGCTTCTTCAGTACGGCCACTTCCATTTTAAGCACCTAAATGTGAGGGGAAAGTGATTACTGATCAGCTGACAGTACTAGGGCTTGATTGCACACTGTCGCATCACATGGACACATCTGCTAACTGTATAAAGTGAAACAGAAACAATTACACATTCATCGGTTCCGCTCGCATTTGCCAGGATTCAATTGTTTCCTTGTCCGTTTTTTCATCGTTTGTATACACTGGCGCATTTGATTGCTCACAGCACCATCTTTTCCTTGGGAAGCCAAAACAATTGCCAGCAATACCAAATGTTAGTGGCAAGTGCTAGCACAGCATCCTCATTGCAACACTGAAACCTGTCAAGTCCTGCTGAGCGCGTCCAACTGCAAACCAATGAACTTTGTCCAAAAGGCAGTTTCCCAGTGACGTTAGGCTGACTGTTACCTTTCCGTTCGACTGTTGAACTGACTGTTTCACTCTCATTAGGTGCCAATTAAAGCATCACATCCTGGCAGGGCTGGCGGTGATAGCGTCAGATGGAAATTTAAGCTCACCGTGGAATATTCACCCGGCAACTTGGTGAAAGGCATTTTCGCTTAGCCCGAAGTGGAAAGAGGAAAGAGGAAAAAGCACAACAAGATTGAAACTAACACAAATGTGCTTGCCAAAACTAGCAAAAGTGCAATGCTGCAGTTGCTGCAAGTGGCAGCAGTCTGCGAGACTGATGCTGCCTAATTGCTATAAATAAGAGGAACATGTACCGGAGAGGAAAAAGAGATCGAGAGGAACATCATTTGGCTTAAAAGTGCCACCACTAAATTACGTCACATGATGAGCAGAAGGAAACCAGAGTCTCTGAACTTGCGGGCGAAAGTGGTCGCAAATTAAAATTAGCAAAAAAACAATTACAATATTGATACTGATGGGTCCGCGGCAGGCAGCCTTGGGCACCACAACAACAAGTGCAACTGCTGAATTGCTTTCAGGTGCAGCAATTTACAAAAACACGAGATCTCTCGATTCTCGAGTTGGCGACGGAATTGCCGTTAGAGGGAGAGCAAGCGAGCGAGAAGGAAGAACATAAAGAGAGCCACTTGATGCGAACAAGTGAATGGAAGCGTGAAATGATGGCATAGAGAATCTCTCTTTCTAATATTATGAGGATATCGTCACATGGAAAGGGGTGGCAATGAAAAGTGCACACATACCTGTTTCTGTTGACGAGTCGACTCTACTTTAAGAGCAACGTGTAGTTGAGTTTGCATGTCAAGACACTCAAAGATTTCGCCGAAGCCGCCGCCGCCTATTCGGCGCACCACGCGCCACCGCTCCTTCACCACATGACCCGGTGACAGGAGCGACTGGTGCGGGTTGGCGTTTGCATTCGCCTCCATTCTGATTCAGCTGGCGAGAATTCGGGGCCTAGGTGAGTTAAAGAAGGAGTCATCGAATTAGCCACCCACGCTGGGCTAGTGCAGACTGTGAACGCGCGCATACGCGGAACACGGGACGTACCTGTACGAGAGGCTGCAGAGAAAGTGAGACAGTTTTTCACAGAGAGACAATCACAAGGTGTGCCTGCACATTTTCATGTTTGCTCATTAGAGCCAGTGATTGGTGATTGCAAATCAAAATGAGTTCAACTCTCGACTGAGTATGTTGAGTTACACATTGATGACTTGGCAAAGTGGAGTGAATGGTGGTGGTGGTGGTGAGATCAGCGGATTAGAAAGTTGTCTGCTGCAAAACCCGAAGAAGTGATGAAGAAGGTGTTGTCGAGAGACTGGTTGCAGAATAACGGAACTGAAGAACTGAACGGTGCGCTACTGAGCTTGAAGCTGCACCAGCGAGCCGATTGATGTCAGCCAGCGAGTGAGAGAGAGAGAGAGAGAGAGAGAGAGAGCTGTGGTGAATGGTGGCTGCACTAATTAAAGAAGACGCCAAGAAGAAAGTGCTTAGCTGTGCGCCTGCTGTAGGTGTTTTGACGACTCTCTTCCAGCCAGGCTGTCCTCCTCCTCCTCCTCCTTTTCACTGCTGGTGCTTCGAAACCAGCCGAGCCGATGTGAATGTCTGTATGTGTTTGTGAGTGCAGTATAAGTGTGTGTGTGTTTCTGACTGTCTGAGTGTGTCTTATCTTCTCATTCGCCTCTTTGTCGCTCCTCTGCTGTCTTCGTCTTCGTCTTCCCCCAAGTTGGCTCTTTTCCTCGGAGGGCGAATGATTCGCTCTGCTTGCAAAGTGAACGCTGCACGGGAATGGAGCACGGGTTCAGCGTAAGCAACCACAAACAACACACCGCCACAAACTGCAAAACATGACAGTTAGTTTGGGAATCAAGATCCGCAGCTCCAGTGCAACAATTTCAAAGTCGTAAACTGCTGCTGCTGCCTGATTGGTGGCTAATCTAAAGAAGGAGCACCAAAATCTCAACAGAAGAGTGAGCACCCTTTGGGCCCAGCAACACTTACCAGCGTTGGTGCTGCTGCTGATGATGATGACGATGGTCGCTAGGATTGGCACTTGAGCAGTTGCACTCGGCACTGTACCACCGTACCAGAGGGAACGGCAGCCAACTGCAGGGGAGAGGAGATAAGGCGAAGCTGGCTGCAGCAATTTCCATGCGACTACCAGCTAGTCTCCAAACTGCAGAATTGCTCAGAGGCGAGTCGAGTCGGCACAGTACCAGCATCAGCAGCAGCGGCACCACCACCACCACCAGCACCAGCAGCACTACCGCCGCCACCACCAGCAGCACCATCAACCAGCTCCATCAGTTGCGACGACAGCAGTAGCGGATTCTCTACGGGAGGCAGTGGGAACATGGAACTATATAGAGCATGGCTCCATCGCGTCGAGTCGGGCGCACAGACACACTCGCAAACACACCGGATCGTCCTGTCTGTCTGCCTGTGTTGTTGTCTTTGCATGAGGGGACTGAGAGAGGAGAGCGAGTCTCTGCTGCTTTCGGCGTTCAGCTGCAGTGAGTGTCGTGGAGAGTAACTGTCAGTTGGCACGGTGGAGGCGCCGTGCGCAGATCACCCGCGCCCACGACCTGTGATCGGTGCTGCTGCTGCTACGGCTGCATCGCCTCCTGCTCACTCCTTCCCCGGACTGCCACTGCCAAAGACGACGGCGGCAGTGGACACTGCACAGCACACAGAATCGACGGCTAGTAATACCTGTAGCAAACAATAGCTCATCATCGGCTTCCCGTCGGATTGCCAGTGCAGTAGACGACAGCAGCCGCCGCCACCGCAAGAGAGGGAAAGCCAGCGCTGCCAACTTGCGACAAGCTAACTCGGACACTTAATGGCGCAGTCGCCCCGCAAAACGGGACACTTTACGGGGAAAAGTCGGCCAGTGTGAGAGACGCCAAGAAAGTGCTGCTGGCGGGTATTCACAACCGTGTCACTGCTGTGCATTTTTAGTGGTGGCAGTAGATGGTGGGAGAGAAGGTGTCCATTGCCGGTGCTCGTTAAATGATTGGCTTCAGTGAGTGTGTGGCTGATTGGCGAGGAGAATATTTGTTTTTATTTAGGCTCAAAATATGAAAAGATAAAGGGCAAACAGGAATTGCTCTGATAGAGAAACTGTTCGCTCATCAAGCCCGATGGAATTGAGATGAGATCTGGTAGGACAATCAGATTAATAGTATCGCCGTAACTGCCTAGTGCTTTGGGCATTAAAATGTGCATGCACTGCTCGGAAAGGTCAACTGCTCGCACAACTCCGCAACCAAGGCAATTTCCATTTATGAGTTCATGATGAATGAGCTTTAACTGCTCAGGGCTTTGCGAAACGGATGCTGGATCCATTTTGGCCACTTCAGCGGGAGAAATATTTCCAAGGATGACCCAAGAGGCATTCAATAAGTCGTATACAGAAGATGAGCAAATGTTTGGGTTGCCGACACAGTGCACAAACAAGTTTCCTAATGGTAATCTAATCAAAAAATAAAATTAGAAACGCAACTTTGATATTAAACAAGCGATATTAAACAAAACTATACATACTTTGCGGTAAAATTCATAAAGAATGGTAGAAATGATATTTCAGGCCAAAAGCTATGTGTAACATAGGCCAACTGGTTAATTTCCCGTCGAAAAGCGGAGTTTTTGTAGGGCGAATTCAGGGAAAACTCATTTACGCAGTGAAAAGCCAGCCACAATTTGAACTGAATAGTACGACTTGACATGACTAATAAAGGTATATCTTCAGGCAGTTTAGGATTTGAATATTTATTCTTTTTGGTTTTTCCTATCAAAACCATTCCTTCATTTCTGAGAAAGTTGTAGTTTTTTTCAATGTATTCGCTTGGGCTTTCAATGCGAATTACATGCGTTGGGTCAGCCAGTTGGATTATTTTCATTAAAAGCTCTAACCCAAGATCTTCAATCCAGCCCATTGTGTTTATAAACAGTGGCATTCGCAAATCGCTTTCATGATTGAATAGTTTTGCTTCGTTTATCAAATCCTTGATCAAGCTCATGTACGTAAAAGTGTTCTCAGAAGGAGAAGTCGTGCCAAAAATCTTTGAAACAATTTTTCGAGGCTGAGTAAGTACAACTGAGTGGTCGGTAGATATAAATTTGAAACCAGGAGTAGACAAAACTTTTTTATCGATGGTGATCAAGCTAAGAATACCAGAAGGTGCAAATTCCGTCTGTCCTGGATCACATTCAAGATACAAGGCTTTCCTCCTCAAATGGCCAGAATTATCGCTCAAGTAGCGGTTGATCATGTGATGAATAAGGGTTGACTTTCCGCAGTTGGTTGCTCCGCAGACCAGAATAACATCACGAGGAACAATATTGAGTTTATCCGTAATAAGGTTCATTCGTCGGTTCAGTTCTACAAAAGCATCATTTTTATAAACCATAGAGCCTACACTACTTGGTGCTCTCGTGAATTTTCGGCTAATTTGTTCATGTGCTGGAGTCGGGGAGCTTGCTTTGAGGATGTACTCCAAGACGAGTTTAAACTGAGTCATTGAGTTGGCGTCAATTTCCACGCGTAAGAGCACTGATTGGCCATCGTACAGCTTGGTCAGTTCATCAAAGGCAATTAGTTCGACATAACGGTCGCCTACTTCGCTTTGAACAAGTTCAATATCTTTAAGACATGAGGATGGTTCATGTTCAGTAGATTTAGAAAACGTTACCAATGAGACGTAGCCAAAACATGTAGAAACTTTTACTTGTTCCCCAAACTTGCAACGGTAGCCATCCACTTGCATAAGTTGATTTGAGTAGGGAATCAGCTTGACTGAATAGCAAAAATCTGGGTGTAGAGAATAGCCCAGATCGGGATTCTTTATTAGAGCATAGAACACATTTTCTTTTGCCTTGATAGAAAATATCCCATCATTTTCATAAATTGTGGTTTTTGAAGTTGTTGGCTTGTTGGGATGGGCATCAGTTACTTTAAATGTGCTGAATGATCCAGACAGATTATGTTTTCTTTTAGACAGAGATGATCGAAGTTTTTTAGTAGGTTTGTTCATTTTTCTTGGATGTATTTGCATGGGAAGGTACTTTGAAAAACCTTGTTTTCGCTGGAAAAGAAAACACAAACACGTGCATTGCCTGTATTGACACAAGTGGCAAGTGCCGCTGCTGGTGAAATAGGCTTTTGTTTGAGACCGAAAAATGGTGTCAAAAAAAGTTGGGACAGATGCCTTCAAAGGGTGTTCCAACCAGAATTAGCAGTGTCAGTTGATCTAAAAAATTCTGTGCATTTCTTTAAAAAAAAAGTTCAAGACAATGCCGATTTTGGCAGTATTGTTTGGGTTTTTATCCCTAAATACAGCAGCACTTCTCTTTCTCGCCGTTTACATTGTAAATTGTTACTGTCAAACTTGAATTTCCAAATTAATCCTTTCATCTTTTAGCTCATTACTCTTAGCGATCTCGACTGCGACTACCTCAATCCGACAGCATGTTCTGCCAAACTAAACAAGGTTAAACTTTTTAATTAAGAAACAAATTTTTAACTATTTGTTTCTAGTGGATTATTCCAGAGATGATTTCTTATGGCATCAATGTTTTGATCATTGCTTTTGCTGGCCGATTCATTTTAGTGATGCTCAACCTGCCCATGTTAATTTACGTTATCTACAGGTAATGTTTCGCGTTTATTTTTTTACTGATTTTAACCGTGTGTCGTTTTAGTTTTTTCTTTTCAGTTCCTCGTAAAAGCATGGGATTCTATGACCCGTCGGAGATTTATCTTCACGGAAAGCTCAAAACCCACATCAAGTTTGCCTCCATTCGATTGATCTTTCACCTGACTCACTTTTTCATTTACTTGTACATTGTAAGTTTATCCATCACATAATTATTCTTTCATTTATATTGTTTTTACTTTGCAGTTTATAATTTCATTACTCACCAGCGTTTGATTTAATCACCTTGCATGACAAGTGACCAAAGGTATTATCGTATCAGCATTATTTTTTAATCATCAACCATATTTTCATCATGTGGAATCTCAATAAAGCAACACTTTTATACTAGCTCTTTAATTCTCTATGAATTACATTATCTCAAAAGTTCAATTAGCTTTGAGTTGCAAAGAAAAAAAAATTATCAAGGAGAAAATGACCTGAAACAATAGTGCACCATTGTTTGTGGTTTTGTGAAGCGGCTTAAAGAGCGGCTTTGATGTCCGGTTCCATAACGACGGGATCATCATTTGGAGCAAAGCGCTTGATTGGCTTGCCTTCTTTGTCGACCAAGAACCTGTAACAAATATATAAGTTAATCTTCAATATATCTATGGGCTTATCAATTTGACTTGCTTGGTAAAGTTCCACTTGATGGCATCAATTCCCAGGATGCCTCCTTGCTTTGACTTGAGCCACTTGAACAGTGGAAGGGCGTCATTCCCTAGGAATGTACAAGGAAGTTGCAGTGCAGAAAGTATTACAAGTATTGTTCACTTACCGTTCACATCGACTTTGGAGTACATGTCAAATCGAACCCCCTTTTTGTGAATAAATTCTTTGATATCCACGTCGCAGCCCGGCTCCTGGCCGCCAAACTGGTTGCAGGGAAAGGCGGCGATGCGCAGACCCTGAGCTTCATACTTGTCGTACAGCTCGTTCAGTTGCTTGTAGTTGTTCTGGGTGTAGCCACAATTGGTAGCAACGTTGACGATAATCGTCGGCTTGCCTTTGTACTTGTCCAGAGACACCTGCAAAAAATATGTTGAAACTAAAGTCGCTTACAAGTTGACTGCCTTACCACTTGTCCGTCAATGTCTGTGGCGGAAAACTCGTACAGAGTTTCCTTTGACTTCCAGTCGTCGGTTGACATGGTTCGAGTTGAGATTGTTTGCACAGGTTGCGACTTGCAAAATCTAGTGAAGGCAACGTTTAGACTTTGTTTACTTGTGAGGAGTTTTCCGCGAGCTAAAACCATTTCCATCATTGTGTGCTGCCAAACTGCTAACAGACAGACAGGTAGTAGTGAGTGACAGTGAAATGACCTTGGGTAAGGCGAGAAAAGCTTTGGTGCTGTAGCAGGTTAAGTATTGGCAGATCACTGATTTGCTGTACAAGTGGACTTGAGACTGACTTGACTGCTTGATAGTTTTTTGCAAATAATACAGGGTGACCTTTAGCTTACGTGTCACTTTTATTCGAAAACAATTTTTTATGACAAAACCCTATCTAAAAATATTATCGGCTCTACGCCCAAATGTCTGATTGTAAAAAAGTTGATTTCTTGAAATTAAAGCTTCTTTCAAGAGTGTTAAAAATGTTATGAGATGTTTCACAACAGAAAATTCATAATCTGACAACTTGACCAGATTGACACTGATAACGGCAAGAAAAAATGCACAAAAGCACATCTAGCGGAATAGCATGGCGTGACACTAACCTGAATTCTGAATCGAGTCCGAAGAGTTGATCAAGTTTATTGACTTTGATTGAAGCTTGAATAACAAACAGAGTTTGCTGTACTGATGCAATCAAATGTGAATGATTGCATAACAAACGGCGACAGGCTCCGCCTTGAAACATTTTCGAGCATTTGTCTTTCCACCGAGATGTCCACCAGACTCTTGTTTTTCACCTCTGAATAATTTTTTTTCACTGTACATTGCAATCGGCCTCTCTTTAGAACTAGCAAAAAACTACATGGTAGTTCTTGTATAGTTGCATCTACTGGGCTCATCATCGAAGTACTTAAACTGAAAGCAAGTGCACAAACAAGCCGATCACCATCACTGACCATTTGTTTTGTTCTGTGTCTTGTCATCGCCTCTATTTTTATATAATCACTTAAATGACGACTTTTTACAGTTGATAAACAATTTGTTGATTGGATTCAACTTTAGTATTTACTGTCACAACGCTCAATCACAATAACTCAGGCAATTATGTCGTTAGAAAAACTAAGCGAACAGCAGCTGACTCGACAGCCTGAAGAAGTATTTGACATTCTCTGCAAACTGGGTGCGTTCAAGCCTTTGCTGTTTGTTTATCACGCGAATGATATTAAATGCTAATTTCTGCCCTATCAATCTCTAATCTTTTTAGGAGAGGGATCTTATGGATCCGTTTTTAAAGCTTTACACAAAGAGTCTGGCCAAATCCTTGCCATTAAGCAAGTGCCAGTGGAAAGTGATTTAGGTAGTACCCCACTAAGCAGACACTGTAAACCGTTCAAATGAATAAACCAAACTTTTCAACAAATTCTAGGTGAAATAATTAAAGAGATATCTATTATGCAGCAATGCGACAGCCAGTATGTGGTCCGCTACTTTGGTAGCTACTTTAAAGGTAAGTCACTTGTGGAGCGAGAGTGAGCCATGTTCCCCTTGGATTCATTACTTTTTGCGCTGAAAACTAGGATCTGATTTGTGGATTGTTATGGAGTACTGCGGCGGCGGATCTGTGAGCGACATAATGCGCCTACGGAAGAAAACACTGACAGAGGATGAGATATCGACCATACTGAAGGATACGCTAATGGGGCTGGAGTACTTGCATGAGCGCAGAAAAATACATCGTGATATTAAAGCTGGTAACATCCTGCTAAACAACGAAGGACATGCCAAACTAGGTATTTCTGACAGGAAGCTCTTGTCATGTCACAACAGTCGTTTGGCTAACTCTGCCTTTTTTCTTATCTTAAAGCTGATTTCGGGGTGGCCGGTCAACTAACCGACACAATGGCCAAGCGCAACACCGTCATCGGGACGCCCTTTTGGATGGCTCCCGAGGTCATTCAGGAAATTGGTTACGACTGTCTGGCCGATATATGGAGCTTAGGAATCACCGCCCTGGAGATGGCCGAAGGGAAGCCGCCCTATGGTGATATTCACCCGATGCGAGCCATCTTTATGATACCAACGAAACCGCCACCGTCCTTTCGGGAACCTGATCGGTGGTCGCCAGAGTTTATCGACTTTGTACAAAAGTGCTTGGTGAAAAATCCCGAGCAGCGAGCCACCTCTACCGACCTGCTGCAGCACGACTTTATCAAGCGAGGCCCTACAGTGTCGATACTTCAAAAGATAATCCAAGAGGCAAAAGAAATTCAACAAGTTCAGCAATCGACCAACATTTGCTTTGTATGTGCTTTTACTTTCAGTATACCTGATGCTCATTTTCATCAATATTATTTTTTGTCTAGTCCAATTTTAGTGACAATCTGAACAATGCCACGATGGTCAGCAACAAAGACATGACATTACGCATGACCAACAATATGAATTCTCAAGATGATGGAACGCTTGAGCTGAACATCTCTGCCACTTTGACGACGAGAACAAATACAGCAAACTCAACGTCCGATGTTGAATCCGACCTGGGCACGTTGATCATCAATGACGAAACTGACGACGAAGATTCGGACAAANTCTGAACAATGCCACGATGGTCAGCAACAAAGACATGACATTACGCATGACCAACAATATGAATTCTCAAGATGATGGAACGCTTGAGCTGAACATCTCTGCCACTTTGACGACGAGAACAAATACAGCAAACTCAACGTCCGATGTTGAATCCGACCTGGGCACGTTGATCATCAATGACGAAACTGACGACGAAGACTCGGACAAAACGCTTAAGCCTGCCTTCTTACAGCACTTTGAACTGAAGGAAAATATGGTTTGTTTACTGTTGTTTGCTTGCAAAGTATTATTAACTCAAAGTTATTGTTTTTAGGCACAACAAAAAACGAAAGCAGTTGAAGTGCAAGATGCAACTCTTCTCGAGTATCCAGTTGAGAATGGGTTAGTGAATAATCTCAACGGCATCAGTGACAAGCTCTCTCGGATGGAAAACGGCGACGAAACATTAAACAACAACAACAACAATCCCATTTCAAAAACAATCATGCTAGATGGTGACTTTGAGTTTCTAAGATTCCTGAGCTTGGATGATCTCAAGTCTCGAATGGCCAATTTGGACATTGAAATGGAGGAGGAGATTGAAGAGTTGACGCGAAGATACGCTGCCAAGAGGCAGCCAATTATTGACGCTCTTGACTCGAAAAAGAAACGCCAACAAAACTTTTAATTGCCAAGTATGAGAGCTTTACGACTACGAAAATTTAGTTGGGTGCATCTTTTAAGAGTCGCTGGGCCCTAGTCAAATGAAGTTGAAACTGGCCACATGTTTTTATTATTTTGTTTCATTTTCAGATGCCTATTTTTCAGGCTTGTGCTAATTTACGAACGAGTTTTTGCTTGACTAACTCTCGATGACACCCTCCACATGCATCACCAATCGACGAAACCAACTGATGATCAACTTTCAAGTATTTTATTAATTTTTTCAATAATATAGCCAACTCTATTTTGTAAAAGATGTATTTTATATACAGTAAACAATACAAATGTTTCAGTTTTTAAAACGATTGATTCGGGTGATTTTTTTAAGTTTGCGAAGTTTTCCAGTATACATTACAGGTGTCGCTTTGCTGCAGTGCGGCAGCGAGTAAATCTGTTGTGGAACAAAACCCCATTCTATGCTTATTGACAGGCTCCATCTCAACCTGATTTTATATTATTGGAGCCATTTACCATGTCGTGCCCAGCACTTCCGGATGGATGGAGACGTGAAGAGATTAGAAGATCTGGCGGACTTTACTCTGGAAAAACTGAAGTTGTTTACGTGAGCCCATGCGGGAGAAAGTTCTATTCAAAAGCCGAATTATCGCAGTTTCTCGGAAGCACCTTTGATCTTTCTACCTTTGACTGGCGAACTGGACGGATCAACGCATCAACTCTTCTTCGCAACCAAAGTAAAAACAAAGTAAGATCATCAGGGCGATCCGGTCTCTACGAGTACCGAAATCATCAGATGAAGATGGACAACAGCTTGACGCCACCGATCCGTCAAAATTCAGGCGTCTTCAAGCGGCCGGTCAAAGTGGTATCGAGTCAACCTGGTTCATCGGTGTTAAATTGGAACCAAATTAAAGATTACTTTAAACGGAACAATTTGATGTTAGCTGTTGAACCAAAGCTGGAAAACCCTGAAAAACCGTACCAGGTGTTTTGGCAGAAGCGATTGCAAGGAATCAGCACCACTCGACCGCTGGGGGAACTTGCCGACTTTCAGCTACCAGTCAACATGAAAGCCTTTATGGCCTCTCTAGCAGATAACGAATCTCTTTTACGTAGTCTAACTGCGTCTCTTCACCTTGGCACAACAAATATTCGAGGCCAAGAGAAGAGTGCTCTGCAGAAAAAGAGAGATCCAGTTGAAGGCGATCAGGGACTGTCGCTTAGAAATCCGGTAGCTTTTGTTAATCCTCAGCAACCTCTCATCTTGAGTACCACCGTTACTGATGAGGACATTCGCCGCCAAGAAGAGGTTGTCGCTGAAACTCGCATGAAACTTGTTTCGGCAATTCGAGACGGAAAGTTGATTTCTGCCTAAAGCAGCATATATTTGCAATTGTGTGTCACCTGAACATTTTTTCTACTGACGAAATTTTCCTAATTATCTACCATAAAATCACAAGACAATTAATCATCATTTTTAATATACTTCAAATAAAAAACCGTATTTAAATCTTTCCTTTCATTGGCGTCCATTATCTCTATCGAAATGGTGTGAATTGAGACGGTGCAAGTGCATCAGTCAGATATTTGCACAGTCTAGACTTGAAAAAAACAACAATGTGTCTCACTGGAGTTCATGTGGCAGAAATCAACAACAACTTGTGTCTCAAACTGTTTTCAAAATGGCATCAGAAGAATGCGCTGCAAGTTTCCCTGGACTTGACAAGTTTATCGACCACATTAAATTAGGGTAAGTCATATTTGATATGCTTGATGAACCGGACTAATTTGCTAATCCAATTTTAGCCGCTCTACCGGGTCGTATGCGTTGGCCAAAAAGACGGTCGTTTTCTTGCAAGATTTTCTACTCACAGCAAATTATGACAATATCCGGTACTGTACATTTTTACATTTCATTTGTTTGTAGTAATACATCTAAATTTCAACAGAAAGATCATTGAAGATATTACCTGCATGGGAAAAATTCTCGTCAAAGTGGATCCAACTGAAACTGTAGTTGGAAACATGACAAAACGAGTATTAAAGATTATTCGCGAGGAATACAACCACTGCAAGGGCACTAGTGATTTAGAAGAGACGTTGCAAACTATAGTTAGCACTGCGTCGAGTAATCTAAGCGAGTTTGATGATCAAGTTCAGGCTGACGACATCAAAGAATCCATTTGCCTTGCCATCAGTGAGCTGCTCAGTGAACTTGAAACGAGTGGTGGTAACATAGCAGCCCAAGCTCTGGAACACATTTATTCAGATGAAGTCATCATGACTATTGGCCGCTCAAAAACCGTCGAAGCCTTTATCAAGTATGCCGCTAAGAAGGATCGAAAGTTTCAAGTCATTATCGCTGAGTGTGCACCTTTCTACAACGTAAGAATCTTTATCTGTTGCTCAACATTTTTACGGTCAACATTTTTTTAGGGTCACGAGTTGGCTTTGTCTTTATCAAAGGAAAATATCAGCACCATTTTGATTCCCGACTCGGCAATTTTTTCAATTATGAGTAGAGTGAGTGCAATCTAAAATATATAGAGGTCTTTAGATCTTAGAATAATATTAGGTGACTTAAATAGGTCAATAAGGTGATCATTGGCACTCATTCAATTATGGCAAATGGAGGGTATGTATTAAAGGTTCCTTGCTGAATTTCACATGTAAAGAATCATTTTCTTTTAGAATTAAAGCAATCAGCGGTGCATACACGCTG